CTATCCCAAATATTGTACTGGTGTGATTATGGTGAATAAGAGCAATACCGGCTTTGGCCAACAGGATGTAGGGTTATTGCCTGACAATTCAGGGGCCCGAACCTATATAAAAATCCCTGTGTCCGTCTCTTTTACCTCAGTCCCGCGTATATCCTAGTACCAACGATCCCCATACTATGCAAATACCGGAATCGTGACATCAAACGTCGACAGTGGCGCACCAGGTAGGGAGATTTTGGTGCTTCTGGATTTTGACGAGATGGGTTTAAGATATGGATTCTCCAAGCTACTCGACGACTTCGGCTGTGGAGATCTAACCCGACCAGAGTACATGCTCCGATGAGATCGGAACTATCGTCGTCATCGACAACTTGGTCTATCGAGATCATCCAAGCCTCAAGCTTCGCAGCGTACCAAAAGATGTTAGATCGTATGATGTCGAACGAGTGCGCAACAAGGTAATTGGTAGATTGGTTTTTTAAATTAATCTACTAATTTCATAGATACATCCGACATGTATTTACAAAGGTACGCAATATTTTATATGCAATTTACCGTACCTATTTTCAGATATTTTCAATCAATAATTTATTATGTTTATCTAGAGCATGTTTTTTATACAATATCTGTCGTGCGAGTGTTCCCGATGTTAGGCCGACTACAGTCTAACGCTGGGAGCTCGCCCTATTTTCTTCCGTATAAATCATGCTTGTTTACGGTTTACATAATGCCTGATATTTACATCTGCTCGCTATATCCTGATAATACTAGAAGATCCATACAGTTTTTCAAATACATACTCGATATTCTCTGCTATATGTCTTACCTTCTAGAAAATATTTTTCAGGAACCATTGAGCACTCGAGTAGGTTGTGGTCAAGTACACCGTATTGTCGAGAACGATCTCGACAAATGCAGAGTCGTCGCACCTAACCTACCAACGAAGACCGATGACCTATCTCATAGCACCGGCCATGGCTGGACTACTCGAGAAAAGGTTGTTAACGGATAACTCCTCGCGAACGCCGTCGGCTTGATCACCCGACATGATTGCGAACGGACATCTGGATATGCTATAAGTTGGGTGCGTGAGTCATGCTGGCTACATGAGATGCACATGTAATAAACCAACTCTAGCACTTCAATTGGTGTCCGAGAGATAACTCTACACGTTCACTGGTCCTCGAACCAGTACGTAGCAATCTCTCGCACCGCAACTTCCATTGGTGTTCGAGAGATAATTCTACTCGTTCGCTGGTTTCCGAACCAGTACGTAGCAATCTCTCGCACCGCAAACTTCCATTGGTGTTTGAGAGATAATTCTACTCGCTCGCTGGTTCTCAAACCAGTATGTAGCAATCTCTCGCACCGCAACTTCCATTGGTGTCCAAGAGATAATTCTACTCGCTCGCTGGTTTTCGAACCAGTACGTAGCAATCTCTCGCACCGCAACCTCCACTGGTGTTCGAGAGATGATTCTACTCGCTCGCTGGTTCTCGAACCAGTACGTAGCAATCTCCTGCACCGCAACATCCATTGGTGTTCGAGAGATAATTCTACTCGTTCACTGGTCCTCGAACCAGTACGTAGCAATCTCTCGCACCGCAACCTCAGATGGTCGAGGTACGACTGCAGCAATAACGCAGCGGTCCTTGTACTACGACTTCAAATGATCGAGAGACACCTACTCACTGGTCCTCAACCAGTCAATTGTAGCGATCTCTCGTACATTTACTTCTAGTGGTTGAGTTACGACTACTACCTGGTTCTTGACCAGAGGTGTAGCGATTCTCCTATTACCTCTACTTCAACAAAGTTGATATCAGGTACACAATATCGCCAAGTGTTTTACCTAGAGATCCCTTACCACAAAAGATACCTAGCGTTGAAACCTATCCTAATGTCCCTTTATGCCGTCTTGACAAGGCCTCTGAGGAACCTAAGGGAACTTCGGCTGGGGACGCCCAGAGCAGATAAGGCCTTGTCGGATCCTTCAGAGACGAAAGACCATGTAAGATCTGGTCGTGTAAGAGTTCTCGCCGTGCGTATTAACCAAGTCGTGTAATCGGAAATGGATTTTCCAACTTCACGGCTGGGGGCTAGGATTAGTGCTTGTTTAACCGAGGCATGTCAAAGGTCCAAGAGCCTTATCTTCCGAGAATGATTCTCCGACGACAAGGCTGGGGGCTAGGGAGAGTGTATAACTCAACAAACTGACTGATCGAAGTCAGTAAAAGAGTAGATGCTCATATACAAAACATTGGTCTGTATGTTTAATTCATTTTCAGTTTTCCATACATTCTATAACATGTTACCCTTTGAGCGTTCGCTCGGGGGCTATTTCTATCTAATATTCTTTTCTGACTATTGATTTCAGGAAAATTCTATTCGACATTATCGAAGGTTCCATGTCTCTATGGTTCTACACCAAGTTCGACTAAGGCGAGTACGACAAATGTTGACAAGGCTCCGTCGCAGACTCTGCGCCTTCTCGATTACTCGAGAACGGTTGGTGGATATCGACAAGGAATGCGGAATGAAGAGATGGTGTACCCGCCGAGATAAAATTTCTTGACTTCAATCCAAATTCTCGATTACAGCAAGACGGAAGACTTAGTCGTATGCTCTGTACTTTCTTGGTTGACGTCGGAGATTAACTCAGACAAACCCTTTAGGTGCCCGCACGAGGCTGATAAAGGGAGTCTAACGTTATCTCTGATAAAGGAGCGCGGGGGCAGGAGAAGGGAGCGCGACCGCATCTGGCGGCGGCATCGGTAGGGCGGATGGCGATAAAAGAGAAGTGGGCTGGGATTGAAGCGTTACCAAGAGTCCAGATTAGATTCAATGGCTGAGATTTACAGGTGACGTGGCTCAACCACAATTCAGCTTTAGGTCTTAACTATATAGAAAGAAGGGATGTGATAAGAGTTTTTTTTTCTACTAGTAATGTAGCCGATCCATTTGGATATCTATGGATAACCTAGTGATATAATGGACTCATGATGGATTGACCCTATTAAACCATGGATCAACAAACTCACTTAAAACTGTTTGGTTCAATCCATATCCTAACCATTCCCATCCTGAGTCAAAACAGGTTTTAACTAAATACCACTATGCAGTTCGGATTCGCTGAAATACCATTCTCAATTGAGGGGCTTCGCCGAAACACCATTTTCTTCCAATTCTCTCTTTCCTCTCATCTTTGTTGACCAAAATGCCCCTAATTGAATTAATTCAAGTAAAACAAATATGTAGATTACAGAGTATATATCACCTAAATATCTTGACATGCAATATATATATATATATATATATATATATATATATATATATTCTTTTCTTTACACTAAATTATAGAGTATAAGACACTATCTTTACATCATAAATAAAAATAATTTTTATATCATTGAAAACATTGTGAGTTTTTGAGATAGTACGTTGCATACTATGTAATCTGGTGTAGAGAAAAAAAAAATAACATGTAAAACTATTTTTGGCGTATTTACTTTATAATCTACGTATTTTTATATACTTATATTGATTCAACTAGGAGCATTTTGGTTAATAATGATGAGAGTAAAGAGATAATTGGAAGAAAATGGTATATGGGCAGAGCCCCTTAATTGAGAATGGTATTTCGGTCAATCCCAGCTGTATAGTGGTATTTGGGCGAATACCTTTTTACGATGGTAAAATGTCAATTTTCTCGCGCTGGAGCGTGGCCGTGCCCAGGCGAAAGTCCTAATGAGCGATTGATCGCTGGCGGCGATCGTTTTTTTATTTTCCTCTTTTATTAAGTTTATACGCCTAAAGTTTACACATCTAAAGTTTATCCATCTAAAGTTTGTACAGCGAATGTTTATAAGTCAAAAGTTTATATACCCAATTCAAATTTGAATTTGAATTCAAATATTTTTTTTATATATAGTATTTCTATACATCTAAAGTTTATACACCTAAAGTTTATAGACACAAAGTTTATAAGTCAAAAGTTTATGTACCCGATTCAAATTTGAATTTGAATTCAAATATTTTATATATATAGTATTTCTATACATCTAAAGTTGATACACCTAAAGTTTATAGACCCAAAGTTTATAAGTCAAAAGTTTACATACCCGATTCAAATTTGAATTTGAATTCAAATATTAGTTTATAGACCCAAAGTTTATAAGTCAAAAGTTTACATACCCATTTTAAATTTGAATTTGAATTAAAATTTTTTTATATATTTCTATACATAATTTTTTCCAACTTTGTTTTTTATATATTTTTTAGAGTAAATTTCACAAAACTACATGTTTTGTGGTTCAAGTTGTAGAAAACCACACACATTTTGACACTTGGTACTTAAAGTACATATATTTTGGTTATGTAGTTTCACAAAACTACACTATCGATGTATAGATTCACCCGCGAGATGATGTGGCTGTTTCACCTAGGACGAGGACATGACATTCTATTATCAGCCATCGCACGAAATTAATATGATACCACGTCCTCAGACTAGATGAAACAACCACATAATATCACGGGTGAAACTATTCATCGATAGTGTGGTTTTGTAAAACTAAACTACCAAAATATATGTACTTAAGTGCCAAGTGTTAATATATGTGTGATTTTCTATAACTTAAACCATAAAATATTTAGTTTTGTGAAATTTCCTCTTTTTTTTAATTTATGGTCTAGTAGGAAGAGAAGACGCGGGGGGATGGGGATAAGCGTTCATTAGCCGCGTCCCCGTGCCCAGGCGCAGGTGAACGCGAGCGGGGGGCGAGCGTAGCGGCACGCCGTTTTCGGCGGCGCTGCTCAACCAGAAAAAGCGGCGCAGGAGGGAGAGGATACGGCGGTCGTGCGAGAAGCCCCGTGCATCGGATATTCCGATGCGGCGACGGTTTCCGCTTGGGAGTCGGACTCGCGCTTCGCGCCGGCCATAAGTACGGGATCGCTGAATCCCTTGGATCGTTACCTCATTCCAATCTGTTGCGCGCACGATGCCACCGTTGCGCCAAGGACGAGCACGCGCCGCCGCCGCCGCCCGTCCCTCGCCGTACCGCGGAGGCTGGCTGTCACGGCGATGCCGGAGTAGCGGGGCCGACACGGCGGAGTACGACGCCAACGGGACGTCTCTCACGGACGACGCGCTCGCGGCCACTTTCACCCGGCTGCCGAACGCGGCCGACGTAGTCCGCTGCGCCGCGACGTGCAGGCGGTGGGCCAGCGTGGTGGCCAAGGAGGCCAACGCTCTGTCACGAGCGCTTCCGCTTCTCCCCGGCCGGGCCCTCGGCTTTTTCCACAAGGAGCAGGACGCCGCCGCCGTGGCCACCACGCGCAAGCGGAAACGCCGGGCCATCATCGTCGACTACTCGACGCCCCCGTGCTTCGTCCCGACGGCGTTCGGCTCTCGCCTCCTCGGCTACAACCTCCCCTCCGCCAGCGCGCTGCCGTTAGGCGTCCAGACCGACGCCCTTGGCCTCCTGGATCTATCACTCTCACGCCCAGTGGCCTCCCGCAACGGACGCCTCGTTCTCGAGCTCCAGAGCGAGGAGCATGTCAACGACGGCAAGCTCAACCTGTGCGTCTGCAACCCCATGACGGGGGACGTGGCCGTGCTGCCGCCTCTGTCTGGCAAAGACAGGCCCAGGATGTACGCATGCACATTGCTCACCGACGCCGACATCGACCAACCGCCGCCGTCCGCCAACTTCTTCCGCGTGCTCATCGTCTACAACCGTGACAGGTTTACCGCGTTCCGTTCCTACTCATCAGACACCGGCAGCTGGAGCATGGAGGCGAAGAAGACGCCAGGCCCCAAGCTCACAAACTGGGACCTTGGCAAGCTAGGCCACGGCATCGTGCTCCACGCCGTCGCCTACTGGCCGCTGCGAAGAACGACACTAGCAGTCTAGCAGTACGCCTCGAGTCCTCGACACGCCGCAGCCGACACAGGTGCGCATGCCGCTAGACGGCATTATCAGCACGATTCAGCAGTTTCGTCTGCTTGGTGTCACACCTGAACGGAAGCTGTGCTTCATCGACGCAGCGAATTCCTCAGGATATGTCGGTTTGGCATCAATGGTCTTTGAGACCACCGGAGATGACATGTGTGGTGGTGCCGGAGAATGGGTGAGGAAAGGTGGCATCGGACAATTGCGCCGCCAGTTCAAGATTAAGAGTGCGGATGCCAGTAAACTGCGGTGGTTCTGCGAGAAGAGTTGCACCCTCTTGTTCACCCTCGGCAAAGGAAGCAGTCCCTGGACCTTTGCGCTTAACCTCGGAACAAAGAAAATCGAGAAGTTGACTACCGGTGTCGACTGCAATTGGTGGAGAAACTTTGTGGGATATGAGATGGATGCTGCAGCTTACCTCATGTCCATAGCAAGACGCTGATCATTCCCTTTCATGCTTTGGCACGGTTCTGAAAATGTGAGCACAAGCGAATGAGTGATCTACTGATCTAGTTGTGGCATTTGTGGGCGCATTACTCTGGCTGTGTTTAGTTCCATGCCAAAATTGAAAGTTTGAAGAGATTAGAACGATGCGATGGAAAAGTTAAAAATTTGTGTGTAGGAAAGTTTGATGTGACGGAAAAGTTAAAAGTTTGAATAAAAAGGTTGGAATCTAAACAGGGCCTCTGTCCATTTTTCTTACAAATTATGGTTCCCTTAAAATTAGGGATTTACGGTTGGCCTCCATCTCTCTAACGGTGTGATAAGGGATGCACTTGAGCCATTATGTGCATAATAATAATAATAATAATAATAATAATAATAATAATAATAATAATAATAATAATAATAATAATAATAATAATGAAAAATTAGCCAGTTGGAAGCCAAAATTGATATGTCATGTTGGGCGTTTTTTTTTTCACAAACTAAATTGATAGCGTCCGTGAGTCAAATGTGGAGATCTTGAAGGGACAATTCGAGTGATTTGTTGTGATGAATGCTAAAAGCCCGAGCAACATATGTATGACCACTTTAGCAAGATAGTCAATGACATCAAGAGCCTTAGATCAAATTCAATATTTCTTTAAATAATTTTATACCACTTTAGCCTATCAAATTCAACTACCAATCTCAGCAAAATATCCCAGTGCAATGCGTGGGGTTTCATCTAGTTTACTCTAATGTTTCATCCAAACAAAAAAAAAAGTCGATTTAAGTCGTGACCAAAGAAAATATCTAGTGGTGTACTAGCGTAAAGCCCTCGCAATCCCCTCCCCGTCTATCCATGCTCTATCCCCTCCCCGTCTATCCATGCTCCCGCTCCACTTGCGCCCCACACACAACCACACTCCTTGTCTTCTAATTGTTAGGCCAATTGTCAATAGCCTATAAACAACCTATAAGTACTAAGGTCGATCAGATTGCTTTTCTTACAAGGACGACGCTAACAATAACATCCTATATAATAGGAGTATGGATAATTCAACATAAATAGAAAAAAGTTCCAGATATACATATACTGCATAATAAAAATAGTTTAATGAAAAACTAATCCTATCTATCTAGAAATTTAAACAAAATAGACACAATAAAAATAGTCTATCCTATACTTTCTCCGTTTCAAAATAAAATCGAACAAACTTCATATGGTACTCCGAGTTTTTTCAACATTGTAGTACATCTACATCGAACAAACGTAAGCCCCCTGGGTGTACGCCAACGTAAGCTTACTGTTGTACCGACGGTGAACGTGAATCCAGCCCATCAATCCGGTATTCCGGGCCCTTCGTGTTCGCATATTCACGGTTTACACGCCCCCATCCTCACGTGGGGATCCCCCCGCGCATCACCATGGACCACACTTCATACGCACGCAGCCACGCACCCCGGCACCACACCACGACTAGAAACCGAGGCCACCACGACTAAAAAACCGAGGTCTCGGGGCGCTTTCCAATCCAACAGGCGCGGCCTCCTCCAGTCAATTCCTCCCTGACCCTCCTCCGGCCGCCTCCGCCTCCGCCTCCGCTCCCGCCTGCTGCTCCGGCCTCCGCACCAAACCCTAGCCCTGGGCCATCCCCTGCCCGCCGCGAGATGCGCCGCCGCCCTCTGGCCCCCTGATCCTCACCCTCCTCCTCCTCCTCCTCCTCCTCCTCTCTCTCCTCCTTCGCCGCCGCTCGTCGTTGCCCGGGCGTATGGGCCGCCACGGCATGTCCCGCGGCGCCGCGGCCGGAGACGGCGGGGGATGCCTGCCGATGCCTGTTATCTCGGCGGAGGTCGCGCTCGCTGTCATCGACGCTTCCATTTCAGTCGCCGCCTTCGTGCAGGTGCGTGTGTGGGGGCAATTCGATCTGGTTATCTCGTGGTGGTGCTCTGTCCGCGACTGATGGCGGGGGCAGGGAGTGGGGAGACGGGCATGTCATGCGCGTTGGCGGTAGTGTGCTAGCGGGACGGGGAATGGGGGAGTGCCAGATTTTGGAATGATAATTTTGCTCTTTACGAGAATTAGATATCAGTCAGCCACATAAATTGTCATGTGCTATTCACCTAGGGATTCCTGCAAGGTTATTGCACTCTGGTATTGCTATAATGTTACTATTTGGTGATGTTTTGGTCACAGTGGAACGATGTTTTGGTCATAGTGGAGCAATGTGTAGCATAGTTATGTAGTGCACTTATATTACTCGGTGAATTATGTAGTAGTTGTCATTACTCATTACCAATGAGCTCTGTTGCAAATTGACCTAAATCCTTTACTTAATCTGATCTCTTAAATCCGTTTACTCGGTATTAAGCACTTCCAATTTTGCAGCTAGCAAGAATCCACAGGCATGATCAGCAGCATGGATGGACTCGGCAAAAGGTATGCACAATTCCTATTTGTGCTATTTTTCATGTTGTCCAACTGTCTGATATGTTGTTTTGCAATGAGTTCATATGCTTGCACTAAATAATATCTCTATTGTTATCATGGATAAATACTTAATTGGCTGATGCTCTAGCTATGTGGTTAGGTCCATATGTTTTTATCTCTGGTTGGAAGCTTTTGCTTACCTCTATATCTAGTGGCTAGTCACTTACATTGACAGTTTGGAGGCTAAAAAATAACCAGGCGCAAAACCTCCTTATCCTGTTTTTTTTTTTTTTTTTTTTTTTTTTTTTTTTTTTTGGATATCTCAAGCTTCATACTAGGCTTCCTCATCTACTCTATAATACTTTTCTTATAGTTAATACGGGAGTAGATTGTCTTCATCCTTCAGTTATCTTTCTACACTTTAGTAATTTAGATTACTAATGGTACTATTTGTGGCATACCACTTTATATCATGTTCAGTATGCATTTATTTAGTTTGTCTGATTCCAAGGTTCGGATGAATTGCAATATAGTCTTTGTTTATATAATTATATTTACAAATGTTAACCCCCAAAAGTTATTTCATTTATGCATACCTTTAATGATGTGTAATCATGTGACCTTCTCATGAATGAAACATAACTATAGATTATCAAAACAACAATGTGTTTTATAGTCTATCTATTTGACAGAAGTAGCAAGTTTCCTTGGTATGGGACATTTTACTTCAATACGTGGGCTGTAGGGTTTTCGAATGAGAGCTCAAGAGTAGGATATTAAATAATGCTAATTAGTGCCTCACTTTTTTTTTCCCTCTGTGCTGTGAGCTCAGCTGCCAGATTTTTAATGTTATATGCCTACGTTCTTGCAGATATTCCATTTTATGATTGGCCTATGCAACTTAGGTGAGATCTGTATTGCTATGATAATACCTTTTTCCCTTTATTTTGCTTGAGGTTTCTTTATTATTTTTTGTGCACTGGAAATTTCTGCATAATGTAGTCAGTAGTTAATGACTGTCTTAATTGTTCTGAATGGTTCCTGCTATCCATGTTTTAAACTTTTAACTAATGGCAATTGGAAAATGTTACAATTCAAGTTTTTGAGCGAGCTTCCTCTTTTATGATGCTGGAATGCAACCACTATGACATTGAGGAACCATGTGCACAAGGAATAGTTGAACTATTTATATTCTGGTTTTGAAGCTTTGATTAAGAAATAGAAAATAGATCTCATTTTTGTTTGCAATTTTTCTATTACGGACATGCTAGTTCTCTCCTTAAATAGGTCCAATTTACACCAAATGACATGACTGCTGATCACTTGTCTTAATTTGTGCACAATTAATGAATCAAATATACTGATGTTTAACTTTATAAGAAGAAAAATGTTGTTACTTCACTAACAGCTTCTCAGGTTGACTAGTTTCTAAATAAAGTATTTGTATTATCTCTACTAGTGAATCAGGTCAATCATGTGTACTTTCATTATCCATTCCTTTGACAGTATTCCTTGCATATTTTATGATTACCAACATTTTACTAACTCTGATTTTTATTTTCCCAATCCTATGGCAGTATTCCTTGTGTATTTCGTGTCTACCATCATCGCTACCTGTGAGAGATGGCTTTGTTGGGTCCATGGATGTGGATTTGTACTCATGGGTATATTTTACTGGATATATAGCTTTGCTGTTGTCCTTTTGTTTTTTTCCCTGCTTATCTACATGACCTTTTATTGTATGCTATTTTTCTGACCAGACCTAATAGTTGTGCATTCTCAATATTTTGCAGCTAGTCCACAGATATTGCTTCTTGCTTCTTTTCTGTTGCTGTTGTCATTCTGGTGAGTCGGCACTTGTTTCTTACAATGCATTTCTCATGTAGCTTTGCTAATAATTTTGAGAGTAATAAAGATTTGTTTGGAATTCCCGTTCTTGTTTACTATGTCTCTGTTTCATATATCCACTTGAAAGAATTGTCACTTGACGAACATATCCAGTTTTTTTATTGGACTACACCAATTCTTATTTCTTAGTTATCTAATCTAGACCAAGTAAATATCCTCTACAACTACAGCATAGGCTATGTCAATATGTCATGCATGATGACCAGTCAAACCATCTGAGCATAAAAGGAAAACAACATTCCTAATTGATGCTTGATTAGAAAACTGATGGATCTTCTCATTATAATTTCTTTGGACTTCAATAATTTTAAATCATCTTACTGACTTACTGTCTGGGTAACCCTGTTAAGATTGACCTCTTATAATCAATACAAGATGGCCACATGACACTATTAGTCTATTACTCGTTAGCATATAATCTCTGATACATGCCGCATTACTCACCTCTTTTTCGTGGTTATGGACATTATCCAGTTGATTGGATGACCATATGACGACCACGATTGATTGGTATGATCACCATATGATTTATTATTGATGGCGATCTATGCTTGCAATCTCAGTGTGATAAGAGAATGTTCTTTTGCTCAAAGTGGTATTATGCGAAAAGGCTTCTCCATGTATGGACTTATTGGAGATAAGCCCTACCCCTCAATGAGGTTTGGGTTTTACACTTTTCCTTTTACTTTTGCTCACTTCACCATGGTGATAGGGTACATGGAAGGTGATCACGTAACCCACATATTGCTCCCCAGTCTGAGTTAGGGTCTTTCTATGCCAACAAGCATCCAATGGGGCCTAATAACAGTCTTCCAAATCATGAAGGGGCAAGGGAAGAGTGTTTTTCATTACTGTAGAAGACTTTGTTTCCCTTTCTTCATACACCTGGTTTGTGCACTCCTTGTCGTTGTATAGGCAAAAGACATACTAGTACTGCCTTTAGCTCAGTTCTAAGCTGTAACATGTCTTGTAGCACTTGCCACAACGGTTGCACTTGAGGTATCTAACCACAAATCGTTGGTGGGGTGCATCAGAAATAGTAAGGTCTCATCTTGAGGACCAAACCTGTATAAGTTCAGTGTTATGCATTGGTTTACCACGCGACGTTTGAGAGGATTGCATTAGAGATGTTAGGGTGAAACAAAAAGGGGGAAGATGATGGTCATGATTTAACGATTTCTATGAGATAACATATGCCATGAACCTTGTATTGTCAATTTTTTGCTTTCTCATGAATCATGTTATTATTATGCATATGTTTTTCTGCCTTCTTTTTCCTTTTCATAGTTGCTTTTTTCACTCTATATTTCTCTAAAATAATGGTCTTACAGGGTTGACCTGTGTCACCAGACAAACGATGAAGATGAAGAGGATACGAGGAGTCACCATGAGGCTTTACTGGATAGAACAAAAAATAAACCTGGCATCCGTGCTGTTGATGTTCGCCGGAGGTGTTGCCCAGGAGTACAGCTTGGAAGCCGGCAAAAATTTGTGATTTTGGTAATCTTTTTAGTTGGCATATTCCTTGCTCATGCACATAATACACATTCCTTTATGACACTTTCTTTTATTTAGACTGTACTGCTTGAGAATGATTTGTTTGATTAACTTTAATCATGTAGTGCACCTACCATCATATAGTATTTGTGAAAATAGAACTAACAACTGACCTAATATTTATTTCCCATACAGGTGCTTCTACTGTCATTTGTTGTTACAATCGCCTTCGCCATCCTCATCTGGATTGGTAGAGGAGAAAATCCTATTGATTCATCTCTATTGAAAAGGGTATGATGGATTAGAAATTCTTTATGTTTTTATGTGCTGCATTTCCTATGATATATCAACTTATTTTTTATCAATATAATAGCATTGATGTGTTGCAAGTGCTGGAAGACAGCCTTTGTATTACTATAAACTCAAATAAACAACTACGGTGAAGAAATAGAATGAAGAAATACTAGATGTTTATCTTACATGGATGGAATCTGATACTTGTCTTCCAAGTTCCAACACTGATGTGTTGTGGTTTGCACAAATCTGTCATTATTGTGGACTAAGTTTTGTAGGCACAGAGTAAACAATCCTATTCAGGCCAATGCATTCTAAACCTATGCACAGCAAGGTTAGGTAGGTAGACACAACAATGTGAAATTCATCAGATCAAACATGAATTTTTGTTAGAGATGGTCCAGTAGAGTAACAAAATCCTATGTGTTCTATTTGTGATAAGTTTGATGCTATAAGTACAATTGTCTCCATTATGACTTGTATCTTACTTGTTCTTCACACACTTTTTATTCATGTTTTCACATTAGTTTACTTGATAAATTTACAAGCTCACCAATTTCATCAATAGTTATTTAATCACCTATTGTGTTGTGACTTGATTGTTTAGCCAAATATTTTATTTTGTAGGTTTACTTGGATGTATTCTCAGTAGTTGTTCTTGTACTTGGTGGTGCGCTGGCATGTTATGGTAAGCATAGCCTATGTATACTCATCTATACCATACCATAATTATGTCGCAATATTAGGCATGATGTTTTCTAGTCAATTGTTTCAACCTAAGATAAACTCTTATTATCTTGTTTCTAATCCCTCGCAGTAGATTAAATATTGAATGAGTCTCACAGTCCTATTTCACTTTATATCTAGTTTCACATCCGCCTTACTAAATAATTTGACCTTCATCTGCTACCAGTAATCCTCTCATTCAACATGTTCTTGACTTGCCCTTTTCTTTTATTTTTTATGATCATTTAAAGGTGCAATACTATTTTCAAAGATGAGCAAAGTGCGTTCTGAAACTGGATCATCTGAGAAGCGGAAGGTATAACTCTTGCAGAATCATTCAATTTGTGGATTGCATCTCTCTACTGCTTTATCATTTGCTGCATGTATTGTATTTTGTAAAATCATGAGAAAGCAAACTAATAATGATCGTATACAATATTAAATTAATTGAATAAATGGTCATATATTCAAAAGATACAACTTTTGGTTTCAGTTCTGATAAATTCTATACTTTAAGATATCATTCCAATATGGTCATAGTGCTTATAAAACCAGATGACAAAAAACAGGATGCCCCTATATGCGTACTCCTGCTTCAATAATCTGTATGAGCCCAGCTCTTCTGAGAAGTGAGCCCATGTATAAAGAGCACCTCACTTACACTTTTGTCCCCTTTTGTGTAAAAGGGTCAACTCAGAAGTGTTATGATTGCAATGTACGGGTTTATATGCTGGCCCCAACTTATGTAAACTCTCGATGTGGGACTAGTTGCACTAACACCACACCATGGGCCAAGCGGGGCTCTACTATTGGCTGGATACTGGAGTATTTCATATATAGTAGCATAAATTATGAAAAATAGTATGTGTTTTTACGAGGACCATTCAGTCTATCCGAATTTCTTCAATCTTCAAGGATATATTATTTCGGATCTGTAATTCTCTATATCAATGCTTGCTTCTCTGCAGGTTGCAAGTTTAGCTACTGTGTCACTGATTTGTTTCTCGTCGTCCGCTATACTAGCACTTGTTACCAATGTTCCAGTAAGTCTGATTTATACAATAATAGCTGAGTAGCTGACATATCCACTAGCTGGTTCTTGAATTGCTAAATATCAATTTGCTATACTTCTTGTTGCAGGTGCTTGTGTATTGGTACTCAGCAGATGAATACATCATCAACAATGCTATCATATTGTTTATGTACTATTTCATAGGTATCTCTCCACCATCTATGGCTAGAAATAACTCCTCTTAAATTGAACGATAACATTTTATTAAATGTAGTTCATGTTGCAATGGGAAAATATGGTAGGATGTGGTGTGCCATCAGGCTTATTATGTGCACATGCTTCGAAGCCTGATGGTGAATGCATGTGAGCATGCTCCAACATGGAACCATATGTGGGAATTAATACAATAAGTTAGTGAAATGAGTAAGTGTGGTGGTAGGTGTGGATAAATTATTTATCCAACCTTTCATTTCTCATACCCCCAGGGTGAAGCTAGTCTAGATCTAATGATTCTATGTGTAGTACCAGATTGAAATACTCAAACTCTGCTAGTTGATATATTGCAATCATGTCAGAACTTACATTTCTTTTTGTTCTTATATTTATGATATCCACTTTGAAGTTGGATTCTTAGTTCTCCTTACCTGATACTTAGTGAATGTTGTGCAACTCAACTGTAGGGAGCAACACCATCAAACTAGTGAATGATTTTAGAAAAATAATTAGTTGCATGGTGTATTTACGGCACACATTGAACTGCAACAGTGGAATTGCCTAGTCACAAAAATTAACTCTTTACTAGGCATCCAATCAATCAAAATAATTCTGGAATCAGAATGCATGTTGTATAATAGTTTTTTCTGTTGATATTTTCTCATGTTTATTGCGAACATAATATTCCATTCTCAAGAAAGCACTTGGCAAGCCTCTTTTTTTTTTAGAGAGAGAGATGGCACAACCACTTGTTAATTTTACTTCGGATACTCTTGCAGGATCATCCATACCGTCAGGATTTGTTCTATGGGTCATGAAAGATATTCCTCATCGGCAGACAGTAGAAAGGCCCACACAATCAAGAGTTGTTATTTTGTTCAGGGATAGACCATCCCCTACACAGGATCCACAATGGAGGACTGCCGTTACATCCTCTAACAAGGTACTTGCAGTATTACGTTATTCAATTAAAATTCATAGGTTTCTACCTCTACATACTTCTAATAAACTGACTTTACTAATCTATCGATGTATAGGCCCTCAAGTCAAGCCCTATTTAACCAGAAGACAAACCGTTGATGTGGAAACTTCAGTCTGTTTAATCTGCTAGAATTTTACCAATGCGTCATTTGTGCACTGGCATCTAGTAGCTTTCTGACAGGTTGTTGGTACAAAGATGGATATGTAATTCCTACTTCAAGGAAACTTTAGTGATCAGAAAAGAAGGGAATTACCTGTGAATGTAGCATGGTTCTCCAATGAGTGCACAGTATGCGTTTATCCATTAGAATTAACTCTGGGTAAGGCTTTAAGGATTAACAAATGTAAATAGCCATAGAAATGAGAGTTTTTCATGGTTTGGCTGGCTGTTCATTCAGATTTTCCCCACCGTCACATTAGCTTCCTCAACTCATTTTAGTTAATAGAACTGGCAAAGTAAGGTTTCAGCTTGTCTATGAGGAGATTTTGCCTTGAGAAGATCTCTCCATGTTGATACTCTGTCTCGTTCTTATCATGCATAAAATGTTTCAAGGGCGTTCTGATCCTAGCAGCTGGCATGGCACGCTATGCTGACTTCAACCTGTCAGCTTGCTACATCATTCAGTTGCTAAACAAAGTCGATCGGTTGTTAGTTACTGCTCCACTTGAGAGCAAACTGCCATTATCATCGGAAAGATATGCACGACTAAATAATCAATAGTTGCTCGTGCTATAGCAGTTTTAGCCGAGTTTAGAGCGCAATTTTAGGCGGTGCGGTGCGGTGCGTTAGCGGCTTCGCACCTGCAAATCGCGGTGGAAAGACGCAGCCAAATCCATCGGGAGGAACCTAAAATCGAGGATTTCAAGGGCATTTTGTAGTGGCGCAGATCGGCAGGAGCTTTGGACAACGTATGCAATTGGTACAGTCGGCAAACCCAACCCACATGACTACATGAGTAGTACATGATACCCCGGCACTTAAAACTCTTTTGATCTTGGAGGTTGGCCCAAAAATGGATTAGAGATGGGATACCGGGATAATCTAAACAAAGAAGAATAGTGTAGGCTAACTGTTTAGGTAATCATAATATCATATTCTTTTGCAGATGGATCAAATTTCATGAGATAGGGTGTGATTTGCTCAAAAGATTAGTATGCGTGGCTTCAGAACACAGTTTCTGGATGATCTCTCGTGGTGTGGGTAACTGGGTACAACCAACCACTATCTCGTTTTGGATTAGAGGACCACTACATGATCGTTATAAACAAATCTGAAGGAATAATTGCATACAATGTCTAGTGTAGATTGGACGACGGTCCTAATCAAGCTGCACATAAAAATTGTGCTGGTGAAATGTTTCTTATGGTCAACAAGACGGCTTGACGTCCTTAGAATCTTTGAAATGCAATTTTAGTTAGGTACCCTGTTTAGGAAATATGCTGGCTCATACTACCTCCGTTTTTTTTAATAGATGACGCCGTTGACCTTTTCTCACATGTTTAACCATTCGTCTTATTTAATTTTTTTTGCAAATGTATAAGATATAAATCACACTTAAAGTACTATGAGTGATAAAATAACTCATAACAAAATAAATTATAATTACGTAAATTTTTTGAATAAGACGAATGGTCAAACATGTAACATGTGAGAAAAAATCAACGGAGTCATCTATTAAAAACGGAGATAGTAATACATTTACAGTGGCTCAAACATTTTTTTTTTAAAAAAGTACAAGATGCACCTTGAAAATCACATTCGCTACTATCCATCACTAACATTTTTCCTAACATATTCCCTCGAATATAAGATACTAACAGTAATTAAATTATAATCCACTAACTACTCATTCCACAACTGCACAAGGATCACTCATCCTCTTGTGTCTAAAAATAGCACAAGCTCCCATGCATGTCCATTCCATCTCCAAAAGTAACCACCACAAAAACCCATGAGCTCATCTCACTCTACCACTTGTCTACTCCGCAGCCCAATAACCACCATTGTTTTCTCATCTCGACATGCTAACAGCCTAATACTGCTATTATTCGTCTCGCTTCCCATATAACCACAGGTATAACCGCCACGAGAGAGCTCTCTCCCACTTCTTCCTTCCTGCGCGCCTCTCCAAACCACCATGGGAGCGGGCACCACCACCACAACCACCACAGAGCTAACCGCGGCGCGCCACCCCGCCGCCAACGTCGTCTCCGGCGGCTCATCGGGCTGCCTGCCGTCCTCGTGGCCTTCTCTGTCCGGCGCCGGCGGCACGGGCAGGCGGCGCGGCTCCGCCGTGGTCCGGAGCCTGCAGCTCGTGGTGCGCGACGTCAGCCCCGCCGCGGGGTGGTGCGGCCACCGCGCGTGGCGGCGGCTGCTCCGGCGCCTGGCGCAGGAGACGAGGTGCATCTGCAGCTCGTCGTCCCCGTCGGGCGCCGCCTCCTCCAGGCCCATCACGTTCGGCTACGACGCCGCCAGCTACGCCAAGAACTTCGACGACGGCCGCCGCCCCGCCGCGCACTACGCCGCGCTCGCGCCCGCGCCCGCCGCCGGCGCCGCCAATGCCGCCGCCCATGAGCCGGCCGGCCGCTGACTCGATCGCCTTCAATGCCTGTTTGATCTCGACCGGGTCTTGTGGTTGCTGAATGCTGAGCGATGTGCATTCCTTTTTCTTCACCTTCTTCTTCTTTTTTTCCTTTTCTCTCTCTTTTATTTTTGTTCTCTTCTCTCTTGCACTCCATTGTCGATGATATTGGTTGTTGCAGCAGTGACTTGACCAATAGTCGGTACGTAATTTTGTAATCTGTACATAGCAAGGAGATAACATAAGTGGAATTTAGCCGAATTTGCATGATTCACATTTTTCATGTTGTGATTTATCTGCGTGGCACCAATGTGATTCTTCTCGTCTTTTGATAGGTCTCGATCTGAGCTTAAATAAGCCACTTGTTCTCCCTATGCCTATTATCTTGTGAAAAAAAAATACTCCATTTGCGATTGGAATTGGATTGTAAGATAGACGAATTTGACTGTTCTCGGTTCATGGATGAATAATTATGAATGACAGGTAGAGATTTCATTATTGTTATTCAGATCAACAAGGCGTTAAGTGTTAGCATTTGCCATACAAATAATGATAGCCAGAAAAGAAGGGAAAGAGATCAGCTTTACTCAGGGAAAGAGATCGTGCAATGATGTACTATCGACGAACAAAATGAGAGGCAAAAGAGGAAGGAGGACACTGACCATTAGTAGGAGCAGCTTAATCAGTAGTCATGATCCTGCATTCCAGGCCATTATCTTTTAGACTAAACCACGGTACGCTGCTGCATTTCTTATCAGCTATTAGTCCCTTATTACAACTCAATTGCCAAATAAAGCGTTCTGGATCATTGGGTTTGTGTATAGTTAATGACCAGTACAGCCTGCATTAGCTATTTAGCTTTGTCCACGAGACAGGAACATTGCTTCCTGCAAGAGCAAGGCCATTCGGTACGTACACATGTACCAAAGATTGGGCTCCATACCAAAAGCAAAGCAAAGTCTATGCTATGCACAACAACACAAACACAAGGCCCCGTTGCCAGAAAAGGCAGCAGCTTCCCTTGGGTGCTAGCTGCAGCCTGCAGGTTTCTGCTGCGCATGCGAAGCTCACTGAATTTTGTCACCTCCTAATTACCATCTGCAGCGTCAGAAATCAGAATCACCTTCTGAGTTTCTGACAAAGGAAAGAAGGCCACAATGAGACGGATCGGATTTATTAGAACTGAACTCACATAGAAATCGGTCTCGCGGTAAAATATTGTAGTAGTCTTGATCAATTGTTTTCTACTACCAGTAGCGACCACTGTAAAAGTTATTTATTAGCATCGGGGTATCCCTGATTCCCTACTACTGCATACTGATAGAGAGTGCATACGAGAGAGCTAGCATTCCGTCGCCATTGTCAGTCTGTCATGTGGTTTCTGCAGTCTGCGGGGACGCATGAATCATCAATGGGAAGCAAACAACATGCTTCCATATAATTGAGGTCACTCGATCGCTCAACTCAAGGCATAGGCACTGCTCAACAATGCGTTGTCAAGGAGGAGGCTGTAAATTTTTGTGGTCCAAAGTGACCTCTTCACTGTCACCTCAATATAAAGAGCTGGTCGCCGTCAGAGGATGCATCCGCTGAACCTGAATAATGGATGCTCACCGACGACTGCACTGCTGGACCGTTACCAAAATGTGCATCAGTAGATGTCATCAGAAGTACTACAATCTAGCGACGATGGCGAAGAGAAACTGTACAGCAAATCGACCAGCTTACTAGAGGCTCGTCTCCAGCGTACAGAAGAGATAGGCCCAAAACTATTTTGGGCTGTTCCCGTACCGTACTGAGCTTAAAAGGGCGCGGCCGCTACAGTGTTCGGAGATTTGGCCCTACGTAGAGCTTGGACGATCGTTCTTAATTACTTCTTCTTAGCCTTCGAATTTCCACATTTCCTCCCATTTTTTTTTATCTTGGTTTTGTTTGTCTCTTTCAAGGCATTACTAAGTATAAGATGAATATTTATTTTTCTCTGCATCTTCAACTACGACTCCGTGGCCCAATGGATAAGGCGCTGGTCTACGGAACCAGAGATTCTGGGTTCGATCCCCAGCGGAGTCGTTTTGTTATTTCAATATTAACCATTTTAACCCTCGATATAAGCCTTAATCGTTCTTTTGGTCGAGATTCCGGTGGCGTTTTCATTATTTTGTCATGATGGAAATGGAAAAGCTTCAGAACCACTCCCTACAATTTTGGTGGCCTTCTTCATCATCTGCCATGCTACATTTCATTCTGGAAAAAGCTTCAGAGCTGCACCCAACGAACATCAGCTAAGCGAACCATCGAAAGATCATGACATGGATGCTAATTTGCCATGCTACATTCATTCTGGAAAAGCTTCACAGTTGCACCCTACGAACATCAGCCAAGTGCACCATCAAAAGATCATAATCATAAACATGGATGCTAATCGGTATCCAGACATACTAGTATCCCTTATATCCCTTGTAACAATTTAGAGTCTTGAAAACCTCTGACAGAAGATGGAACATGAAAAATATCAATGTATTTATCAGCACATGTCCGTTTATTATATTTTACTGTATAATAGTTCACAGTCACAACCATGATGAAACATATCAAGTTAATAGAGGCAGAAACTGATTAGAAAGAGTATTTCTAACGCCAGTTGAAACAGCGATCTCAGCAGTTTCTACTACTTTGCAGGGGGTGACGGTGCAGTTGCTGTGTAGAGGGACTTCAACTGCCTGTATATAAGCTTGCTGTCATACACTGCTAGCTGCAGCTCCATGCCATCCGACCACCATTGCTCCAGCCCATGCGCTTCAAGAAACTTCTGTGGGCCTTTCGATGTCACAAAAAGCTTCGCGACCACATCACCAGCGATCTCACTTGCCTTTCGTTGCTGCTGCTGCTCATCTGAAGCACCATCAGTGGTGGTAGTGGTGGTGGTGGTGGAGCAATTAGGGGCATTGTAGTGACAGCAGATGTAGTCACTGTTGTTTACATATAAATGTGGCACCCATTTCTTGTCAGCACGCAATTTCTTCTTTGCACTTCCCTCCTCTTTGGTACTGTCAGGTAATGCTTCTTCAGTCAGTGGTAGACTAGCCTTAACTTTTTTCCACAGGTAGCTGGCCTTCTCACTCATACTCCTTACACCCATGGCAAGTGAAACAGAAGGTGGATTGAACAGATGACACTCCACGAAGACTCCTTGCTTAGCGAGCTCTTTGCAAACCTGAAGAGCAAATCCAGCTCCCAAGGAGTGCCCAGCAACACTGACATTAGCGCTACCAAACCTCTCAACTGCTGTCTTCAGTGCTTCTAAAGCGCCAATATATCTGACTGATCCTTTTAAGCTCTCCCACACCAGGAAGCGAAGATCATCTTGTAGGTCTCTCTTGATGGTGGGCTTCTGAAGCAGTGTTCCTCGGAGAGCTAACACAGCCCTTGGCGCGCCACTTGGTCTTATGAGGATAAGGTCAGACAAAGCAGAAGAACGATCCCACTCAAGGACGGCACCATAGATGGAACCATCTCTCTCATCGACCAATGTCTGTGTGACCTTGTATTTGAAGGGCTTCCACCATTTTGGAGCAAGGCCATCCTCTTCTCCTTTCTCATCTTGCCTGTCCAGTTCAAGCAGGTAGACTGCTTGAATGAAGCAGGCCATTACCATCCTTTTGTAATTGGGATCCTTCCTGCAATCAATTTAAAGCAACATTGATGGCATTAGAACTAAAGGTAGCAGATACAAATTAACAAGTGTGATACACTGAAGTAAACCTGGTTACGCATACAAAGCATATACTGCATTACCAGAAGTTCTTGTATGTATGAGGTCAAATCGAAATATATTTGATGTCATAACTAACTGACAAACTTTGACAAAAGAAACCAAATAGCTCATATTATTATTATTTCTTTTTTTTTTGGTATGGTAATGCACCTCCTGTCCGCTAAAATTATCAGATTTGCATGTTCCATTTTCACCAAAAGTCGTGAAAAGCTTTCATCCGCTTATGAAATTACGTTATTAATAGGAATACTGGTGTATGCTTGCCACAGATTGGAATTTACTAAGACCTGACATCCTAAGCACTTATAATGTTCAGAACGAAACGTGCAATTCTGTGAATATTTCTTTTTCGGAATACCAATTCTGTGACCCATTCCCGCCCATGCTTTAGAGACTACGTCCAAGTACTATAGCACGAAGCAAGGGAACTGTAGTGATAACTCTAGTTCAACCAGTAGAGTTTGTACCGTCCAATTGAAATGGTATAGCCTAAAAACTAGAGCAATAGAGTGTAGAACTGTATAATTGATTATTATTGAAGGTCATAAAAACAAGGGGCGAGAATTAGAAAGGCACCTCTTCAACAAAAGTAAGTCCATACATATCCCATAGGAAAGTACCACCCACAGGACCTTGGTTTCAATCACTGATTATCTGCTACTTCACTTTCTTGTTTAAGAAGAATACTCAATCCGTAAGAAAAGGTAGGTGCATTTCCATACCCATGCCTCACGAAACAGTGTATGGAAGGAAGGGCAAAACTCTGGGTATGGTAGTCTGTAACCTGACTTGTAGGTTATTACTTGTAGGCGCGCAAGCGCAACACTAACCAACTAAACACAAAGCTGACACGCCGAATCGCAGGATCATCAGAAAAGACATTGAAAAAAAGTTTAAATGTTGTGCAGACATTTGTGAGGTGATCGATTGGAGATTTTAATCTTAATGCATGCTATACCCTTGCGCCAGTGCAGATTGCAACAAAATCCTGAAAATAGCAGTAAATTCGGTTCCTTGTTTACAATCCAACAAAGCTATCGCCTTTCATCTAGCATATTCCCTCCCCTTCCAATCCTGGGAGCCGGGTGCAACCGGACGGCAATCCCCTCCCTAAAACATAGTCCCTTTTCCGATCAATCAGAAGAGGCAACAAACCAAGGGTGCCCGCGGCGTAAACGATCCCCACAGATTCACGCCCATGACGACCATATCTGATATCTCCATAACGCCAAAATGCATATATCAAACTAATTAACTAAGATTTCGCAAGGAAACATGGAGAGAGTAACCGGAAACCAACCAGCTCGAACGGATGATCTCCCTCCAGTTGGGCGGCGGCAGGTTCCGCGGCCCGGACACGTGGAAGTCGTAGGGGTGGCCCTCCACCTCCGCGTCCGCCGCGGCCACCACCACGGCCTCCCCGCCGCACACCCCGCCCTCCTCCCCCTCCCCCTCCTCTTTCTTCCCTCCAACCGCCGCCCCCGCGACCTCCAACTCCCCAGCCAGCGGCGCCAGGTCGATCGCCATGGCCCGCGCGTGCGCGAGGGGAACGGGAGCGGCGTGCGCGCGTGCGCGGAGCGGGCGAGGCGGCAACGGTCGAATCGGCGCGACAGAATGTTGTGGGGACGGAGGAGGGGGAGGAGGATTTGGCAGCACGCGAACGCGACGAATCGTGGGGGCGATGCGGGGGGAGAGAGGGGTGGTAGTATATCTGGGATCTGGAAGGGGACAGCGCCCAACGGTCATGTTCGGCAAGAGGGGCATATGAACTGGAGGGCGGATTTATGCTTGGGCGAGTGGGTTAATGATGAAGTAATGCTTTCCCTTCCTGGTGTTCTTCTTCCTCCCCCAATTTTCAGCTGCTGCCTTGTGCGGTTGTGCCTTCTACTCCATCGGTTTACAGTAGCCCCTGGGTTTGTGTCACAAGGTGGGTGTTTTGCTTTTGATAGTGGATGTGTTTAGTGGATGTGTTTAATTAAATCTCATTGTTGCCTATGAGTTTTATAGTGGATGTGTTTAATTAAATCTCATGTCCCTCCGCTCTAAAATATAATAGAGAAAAATTCCAAAATCATCTCATATGACATTCTACCCCCATAATAAATCATTTTATGCAAATATCTACCCCTACTTAATTTTGTTGCAAAACCATCTCACTACGTACGTGCTTAACTGAATTAACCTGTTAGCACTGATGTAGAGTTACCACAGGCTAAGCTAAGCCTATTCAACCTTATCCAAGTGCTTACATTAGACTTATTTTCATATTTAATTGAACTTTTTTTTGTGCATATAGCAAAACTCAATGAGAGAACGTTTAAGCTCTTGTCAGTAATTTTGTTTGTGGAATCTTACCCAAAAAAGTATCAAGACTATAGGTATTTAATTTTGGTAAAGACCACATTAACGCTGACACTTTAAAATACATGTTGATTCAGTTAAGCATATACGTAATGGGTGGTTTTTCAACAAACTAAGACCCCGCTTGATTCAGCTTAGGATTATTATAATCTGAATTATTAGGAGTAAGCTGAAACAAACAAATAGATTATTATGCTAGATTATTATAATCTTGTTGACAGAAAACACGAGGCCTTGGAGATCTGCTTAACTCCAGTGCAGGTCCAAAGCTCACCTTCGAATGTATGAGCGTGCCAGTTGATTTGATCCTGTAATCAACAAGAAATAGAAGCAAAGAAACCGCAGTTAAATCTATAAATGATAGCCGATCGGCTAGGTGCCGATGACATATCATTTATCTTTCAGCCGATGTCGTATATGCATCGATCGGCAGTCATTAATAAATAAGAAAGGACTGAATCTACTCGATCGGCTGCAGATATTACCAATATATAATCTTTATATCAATACGTACTTAAATCAAGTGATTGGGATAGATCGGTCGCTATGCCGAGACAGTATAAATCACTTAGATCGAAATATATATTAATAATGAGACTATATACGTTCATAGCATAGCCGATCAGATAGATCTAGCATGTATCGGCTAATACTCCGATACTACTCTATATTAAGATATTAAAGCAAGTAGAATATACTAAACACAAGCCTAATATATTTAAATGCAGCAAGATCTTAACGTAAAGGACAGATTTAACATGTCAATCAAGCATATAGGATAAAAAGCAGTTAAATTAGGTAAGATCGGCTGAAACTCCGATACTACCCTAATCAGCAACCAAGAAGCGGGCTAGAGATTGAGATTCTAATCACGACTTATAAGGTCAAACTTAAGTCAAGCCGTATCTAGACAATCAAGCCATTGGATGTGCCATAGAGTGGTAGATATCCTATATAATCTAAGTCAACATCGGTATTTAACCTAATCGGCTGCCTTCTATTGACGGATGTTAGCCGATTGTAGGTTGAATATCGATATTGCCAAGGATTATGTAGGATATATGATAACTCGACGAATTACATAAACAAGATTAGAGTGTCATAAAGATGGAAGCACTAATCCCGAGAACGCAAGCCACCATAACAAGTTTTACCTCTTATTGAAGATCGAAACCGATGCAGCTCAACCCGAAAGCAAGAACTCGTTGAAATAAAACTAAAGCAAAAAAGGTGGCGATGCGTCGAGATTGTATTGAACGTGTGTGTTAAAAGTTACATAGGGCTCGGGTCTATTTATACCCAAAAATTACAAGATATGTCCATAACAGACACGACAACTATCTCTAACAAACTCCAAGATACCATAAGTCTTTGCGGCGGACTTTTGCCCAAGAATATCTCTAAGGAAATTACATAAAACATCCTAATTAATAGATACAATTGCCTTCTTAGGACTCTATCCATGTGCGGCAATCACCTTGAAGCACCTCAATTCAACCTGATGTCATACATCGAGTTGCATTGTCAGAATCGGCTGCATCGGCTTACCTAGCCCGACTCAGACCCAGCCGATTCTAATCGTAGCCGATCTGGACTCTAGCCGATTCCTGCTCTGTTTCCGAACTCGATCTCCGCCTCCGACTTTGCTTCGATCTAATCTTCTTTCCTAATGCCGATATTACCAAATTTGGTTGTTAACACATGCCCCCCAAGTCCAGAATATTTGATAATATTTCGGATTTGCTGTAAATCGACTCCGAGCAAGTTTCGCACTTTGCCGTTTTCCGACCGTTACTGCCATGCTTTAAATACTAACCATTACCCTCGAGAAATCTCACACCGTCCTCCTCCGTTTTCGCCACTAAAACCAACTTTGCCCTCTCTCTCTCTCTCCGGCGATCTCCCTGACGCACAAGGCGATCCCCAGGCGATTTCGTTCCCGACCAAATCTCCGCCCGCGGCGATGTCGTCTTCCACCAGCCCTTCTATCGCGCCATCGGTCGAGTACGCTGAGGTAAGTCCTCACCAGCTAGATCCCTTTTCCTCGCATGAAATCGACTTCTCCTTTTCTCCTCACGTTTTCTGCTTCTCAATTCCTTTGGATTTGCAGCACCTTTCCAACCTAGTCACGATTCCCAGCCTTTCACACAAAAACTACTATTTTCTTGGCCCAATCGGCAATCTCGAATCTCGACCCCACTGATTTCATCATCGGTGAAACTAACCGGATCCCCTTTAGACTAGCCAACCCTAACCTGGGTCACTGGAAGAATACCTTCAAGTCTTGGCCATCTCTCGAAAAACCTACTCCTGATAAGAGCTGGACCACCTGGTACCAACGCGTATCGGCTAGTAAGAAAGTTCACTGGGATGAAATTGGAATCGGCCAAGCACTCACTCTCACCATAGCCAATTCTGCTAAGGATGAACCTCTGATGGCTGCCGCCACCTACTTCTGGTCCAACACCATCAATGCTTTCTTATTCAACCAAGGGCCGATGACTCCAACTTTAATCGACATCACCATGATTACTGGATTAGATGTAACTTCATCGGCTAACCCTATGAGCATGAACACCAAGAACCAATTCGACTTCAAGACCAAAAGCATAGGTGACTGGTCTGGCTATGTGGCGGCATATATGGGCCAAGGGTCTGTTACCCCTCGAGAGCATGTAGCTTTCTTGCTTATGTGGCTGGAAAAATTCCTCTTCTATGGATCCAGTTGTGGCCCTACAACCAACTGGCAATTCGTAACTGAAGCCTTAGAATCAAAGAAAGAATTTCCTTTGGGCAAAATCCTTCTCGGCTATCTGTACCAGATGTTGAACAATGCATCGGCTAAAATAGCCGTCGGCTCAATAGTTGGAGCAGGTGGACCATGGTGGCTGCTGCAAACTTGGTTAAACCTGGTAGTCATGAAGGTTGTCAATCGGCCCTCTGTGACAGAAGCTGAATTCCCATTGCCAGAGCCGATTGTGGAAGATGACGGAGAAGAGCGTACCCATCGCAGATGCATGTCATATGGAGAATATGCATCCACACCAACCGATGCTGGAGCGAAGCTATCGGCTGAGTTACTCAAGGACTGGTTCTGCAGTTTCTACGAAGGTTTTAAGAAAGATGCACGAATCTGGTTTCCCTACGAAGACTCAGCAGACCTTGAACTTCCATCAGACTTTAGATTTGAAGACATTAACCATGAAAAAAATCCAAAAATCCAGAGAAATTCTTATAGCTGCAATCAGCCCATGCATCCTCCCTATCGGCATTCACCAAGGAAGAAACATCCAAGTCTCCTACGAGTTTTATCACCCAATGAGCTCGGCCAGACAACTTGGATTGGGCCAACTCCCAATCGGCTTATTCTTTGCCGACAAGATTCAGTGCCGAGGACAAATCACTTCCACTCTAATGATGGATCGGCTATTTAACCTACCAGGACCCTCTCTGGGCAGTATTGATAATATTGAGTTGGCAAGATTTAGAAGCAAAAACTTTGACAGATGGTGGGGCGAATGGAAGCTGCATCTATTTCATCAATCCGCTTCAATGTATATGACAGATCTATTCCCCGACGTCATGCCCTAGGTAAACTTTGTCATTACTAAATTGCATAACCAGTTAGCCGATTCATTACTTGACTGACCTCTTGCTCCTGTTTTGCAGACAACAGAGTCCTCCCCTCCTCATCAAAGTAACAGTGGCAAGAACATTGAATATGCTTCAGGTCTAATTCCGAATGGAGGTGGACTATCTCCCCCTTTCATCGGCTACCATGCCCCCAAGACTTCAACTCTCCTTCACGGCCTAACTAGAGAACCAGCCGATGCAGGCAAGAAAAGGAAAACCAGATCATCAGCCATGAGTACCTTAGCCTTGGCTCCAAAGAAAAAGACCAAATTCAAGAAAACTCAACCACAACCAACTGATATGTCGACTGATGATCTGCCCGCCTTGGATCCATCTATTGAACAAGCTTTAGATGACGAGGAAATTGGTGAAGATGTTGATCAAGCTGTAGCCGAAATGAGTGACACAGAAAGAACACCATCGGCTTCACCCAAGCAAACGCCTCCAACTCCTTACGCCCCCGTTCATTTTACAAGAGTAAGTACCTCTCTCTGACTTCTTCTGAAATTACCTCACTCTTCGGCTAATTACCCATAGACTTTGTGGTTGCAGAAGAAGAAAACTGCTGTGAAGAAAAAAAACAGCAGCAATTGTTAAATCGGCTCCACCAGTAAGATGTCCTTAATTCTTTTACTTAATCAATCTCAACTGATTATATATAACACTTGTCTATTTCGTAGCCTCCTCCTACTTCTCCTCCTATACAGCAATCGTCAAGTGATCAGACTCCATCGGCTGTGGGGAGTCATCACATCGAAGAGGAAGAACAACCAGCTGCTCCTGCTATCCCAGTAAGTTTCCCTTTGTCTCAACAATTAGATCAGCTATAATTTACCCAGCTCTTATTCTTTCCGAAATTGTCTCTGCAGGCTCTAGCCGATCTCTTCTCTTTTGACATCAGAGATTACCTTGATGA